TGTTGGAAGGAAGTTTCATGAAGGGGTTGAAGTCAGAGATTGGAGCAAAAATTCGTCTCTCGAGACCATGAGGATTGGGGAAACTATTGAATTTGCGCAGCTGATTGAAGATAAAAAAGCAATAGAATGGGTTAATAAGAGCAACACCAATGGATCACCTTATCAAAATGCTATAACCACAACGATACTTGACACTCCAAAATTGGAATTCTAGGGGGAGGCTCCACGGGACAGGACTAATGGGCCGTGATCGGGGCCGACATTCAAATGCCATATAGAGACAGTTTCAGGAGAAGTGAGCTAAGATGTTATGTTAATGGTGTAACGAGAAGTTTGCCCCAGGACTTCGTTGCAAGGATTCAACCTTATAGCTTCTCATAGTGTGTGACTAGGTGGCAAGGGATTCAAACACAGAGAAGCTTGTGGTGGAGGAGGAACACTCTCACTTGGATGTGTCAGAAGTCTCATTGAACTCGATGGTGGAGTTAACACCGAACCACACTGTGAAACTTCTGGGTCAGATTAGAGAGCATGGTGTAGTGGTGGTGGTAGATAGTGGGGCCAACCACAACTTCATGTCAGCTCAAGTAGTGAAGGAATTGAGGCTTGAGATGATCTACACAGGAAGTTTTGGAGTCATTATGGGGGCATGACAGGTGGAGAAGAGTAGGAGAGTCTGTAAAGCGGTGATTTTAATACTCCAAGGTATTCAGGTGATGAAGCATTTTCTTCTCTTGAATCTAGGGAGCACTGTTGTAAGATTGTGTATGAAATGGTTGCAATTTTTTGGAGAGACTAAGATGGATTGGAAACTTCTGACATTGGAGTTCCATCAGAGAGACAAGATGGCAGCGCTTCACGGTGACTATAATTTGTGCAAGACCTTGGTGACACTCAAGATCATGATCAGAGTAGTATAGGAGGCGGATTTGAGATTCTTAATCAAATTGCATAACATGGAAGAGACATATGACTTGGAGTTGGCAGAGATTCTGACACCGATCCAACAAATCCTGCAATAATTTGTTGAAGTATTCCAGTTGCTACGTCGATTGTCACCACTGAAGGAACATGCGCATGCAATAACTTTGAGACTGGGGGTTTCTTCAATTAGTATGCGCCTCTTTCGCTACCCTCAAAGTTTCAATTCAGAGCTAATAGAGCTTGTTGAATCTTCTGGTAGAAGAGGAGGAGATCAAATTAAGGAGATGGTGCTTGAGTTTCACATTGATTTGAATGACCAATTTACAACACTTTGTAATGATAAAAAAACTACCATTTTTGATTTTAGTTGGAATGATAGAAGTGCCTTGCATAATTATTTTGGGAAATACAATATGTGGTTGGTAGCAGAAAATGTGTTGTTTTTGCATCTTATAGATGGAGAGTAGATGACTAAAATACCAGAACATCTTAACATACACCGTGTTGATAGTGTGAAACACGTTTTTGAGTATTTTACAAGAGGAACTCCTAGTTCTAATGTCTAGCAGCGATAGACCTTACTTGTACGGAACACAAATACGTAAATGTTGAATTTGGAAGAGTTCAAGGAAGGGACATGCTACAACATCCATGGACAGGTCAAATATCTAATACAACTGTTGATGTCATCCAAGGCAGTCGATCAGTTGAGGTCCGTTCAATGGGAGTCACTAAAAGCATTGCAATTGATCAAATATTGAGAGACATCAAGAACATAGTTACTCCATTAGATTATGCATTATGCATTGGGAACTTGCTGGGAGAGGATGAGGATTTGGAAATTTTCTTGGAGCCACTTAAGTTAAAAGTGGTGTGCTAGGAATCGACATGTGGGGAAGAAGTGTTGATTAAATAGAAAAGATTGGCAGATCATGATGTCATGTGAGAGCCACATGACTTAATCTAACAGCTGAAGGAACAATGTCTTTTTGAGAAGGAAGTAATGTTAAACCAGCGCCTATGGCGCTGCCCGCTAAATAATTTGAAAACTTATGTTAGACACAAAACTAAAAAGACAATTTAGTCGTTTATTAGTTATTATTATGGGGTATAAATATGGCTGAATATGTTTAGGGTTATATTATTTGTGATTGTTGTCTTGTATCTTATGGTTAAGGTTTGGGAGAGATTGTCTACCTCTCAAATTGTAGGTGTTTATCTTTTAAATATTCTGTATTGTATCATTTTGATTTGGTACTCGCGGAATATAATATATTATTTCGATTCTAATTTATGTGGAAAGTTGTCTCGTTCCTATTGAAACATATAGTAAAGACAATAATCTGGAATCTTTATTTGAGCGGGAATGAATAAAAAGCTACCTAAGTAACCTAAATACATAAGAAAAATAACACACACATAATCAGGAAAACCAGAGTGATACCCAGATTTAAATGCAGTTATTCTTTATCCATTCACCTCCAGCCAGCGGACATCCAAAATGTAAGTAGCAGGCAACGATAGGAATATTTCCAGCTGCAGCAGGCGGAGACGTTCCAGCAGGTGGACAACAGGAGACTTCAGGCAAGCTTCCAATTACAACCGGCACAACAAGGTAGCAGCAGCCAACATTCCAATTGGGAAACCGCTTCAAAAATTTATGGCAATTAGAATAATTGCCATAAAGGTTTCTAACACTAACATTAGAAATATGCATAGCTGGACTTTACAAATGCCCTGTGTCTGCAACGTGCATTGTTTTTAATGAACTAGTGTTACTATTGTGTTTGCGTTAACATGGTTTTATATTTTTTATGACTGGTCTGAAGTGTCTATCAGTTTGTAGTCTAGTAGATGACAGGCATCGCTGCACCAACTTCAACTTCCATTATTTGACTTCAGCATAAATATGGCTAATAATGATTATGATCAGCGCCTCGGGGGGTGCTGGGGGTTGATTTACCTGTCAATATTGTAATGGGTGAATTTAGCATATTCCAACATCTCTGTGTTGCTATCAACGAACAGGCATCCATCAGCTTACTTTTATGATTTAAAGTACTAATTAAATCGAGAAAGGGACATCGCAGTATGGGGAGATCAATGTACTCCTTGTGTATGTAGAAGATATTTTCTTTTAAACGGATAATCAAGCCAATTATTCTGAGTAGCATTAATTGGGATAAACTGGTTTGATCTGAATCTACTTGATTGGGATAAACTGGTTTGATCTGAATCTACTTGAAATGTATAGAGATAGGAATTCTAACAGGCAAAGCACTGAAAATGACTTCCTAATGTGGAGAGAAATTTCTGTGTGTAAATGTGGGATAGTGCTGCATACATCAACTCCACCCTGTATTGATGGGAGTTTCATGCAAAATTTATGCTCCTTATTAAAAAACTTATGTATGGTGGTCTTGCTTTTAGTTCTCATAGTGAATTTGAAAATCTTAATACCGTATTGTGACAGGATAATGCAAATTATACGCAGTACTTGCGTAATGATGGATGTTTAATATCTATTTCCATGATGTTTGTACCATACTGGACAGCTGTTTTTATTGTATTTAAAGAAGGATTTCAGATTACGAAATTCTTACTTTTTTCCTATATAGTTAACTCAACATGCATCATTCCATCTGAGCAATGCAAAAGTTTTGTGGTGCGTAATTTCTAAATATTCATGTATTGTCTTGGAATGTTGATGTGTCCAAGTTTTTTGCATCCCCTTTACTGGAATAAATTAGACTAGATATCCATTGCAAAACTTATGCAGGATGAGTAAATCTCATTGTTTTGTTTGTGAGATATATTCTTGAAGTTATGACTGCTATTTCACATTGATTGGAGTTTCATGATTTATTTAATATTTGTTCAATTTTGAGGAGATTGAATTTGTGGTAGTGTGTTTTCACGCAAAATATTTATTAAGCTATTTATGTAAGTTCATTTAGAAAAAAATGATTTGTGGGTGTTTAGTTTGAAATAAAGGCAAACTAATGTATGGATTCTACTAATACTTCTACGACAATATTCTTAATAGAACTATATGAATGATCTATTCCTAAATTTTATTAAAATTTTTATGACAATCTTCTTAATAAAGTTAATCATCTAATCCCATGTTAAGTCTGACTCAACTCAATAATTTCAATTAAACCCTCATAACAAATTTTCTTGAAAGATTATCAACTCTCTTCTTTCAAATTCCACCATCTCTTCACAAGGAATTCATTGTTTTTAAATAATTCCCTTATTATCTTATGATGTATATTGATAAATACTATTTTAAAATATGTTATGAAAATTTTTTCTGGAGTTTTTTTACATTCTTTTCTAGATTTTTTTCCTTCTCATGTAGTAAAACAAATCTATTCATCATTCAGTGAGTCTGGTTTGAAAGTAGCTAAGTACTCTCTCAGGTTAAAACAATACGTCTGTTATCGAAATATTATATGCATCTATGAATTAAAATGTCTTTTCTTTCATCGCATTTCCATCTTATTTTGCACTCATCATGAATATTACTAAAAACCCATATGTAATATGTATCACCTTGTTTGTAATCCCTATATATTTTCCCCCTTTCCTTGAATATACATTACAATAGTTTGCATCTCTCTCCTTGGAAGTTAATTTTCAAACTTTCTAAGTCCAAGGAGCATAAGCATTAGCAACATTTACTAATGCCCTCATTCATTATTAACTTGTAAAAACCATTCTATCAAGTGATCTCATCCACCTCGACAATTTGCGTTCATTAATAATTAACTTAATTGCAATTATCCTCTCATCAAATCTCTTCACCCCACGAACTTTGTCTCTCGTCAGTTGGTTTAGTACTATGCATACCGGCTTTCACCCTTCCAACATATAACTTCTTATAAGTTATAACCTTTCTCAAGGTCCTCAAATTTCTCCACATTTCATTTTATTGGATTCATGATATTTTTAGGAAGAAAAAATTAGAATCACAATAAAGCAGGAACAACTGAATTTTCAGAATTTCAAAGTGTAAAACCGTTCATCCATCCCTAATTTACTATGTCTTTTGGTGTTGCTACTTACTGCAGAAGGAGACTATTTACAATGATAAACAATCTCCCAACGATCTTTGAGGTTCTGACTGGAACCCCCAAAAAGCTGTCTAAGGAGAAAACCCCCAACAGCAGCAGTAGAAGCAATAAACCAAGCTCAAAGGTATACCTCCATTGCTTTACACCTCAGTTCATCTTCATCTTATCAGATTTCACCCTCATATATTCATTCCCATTTGCAGTCCCAGCCACAGACAAAAAACTCAAAATCACCTTCCCTGAAGGACTATAATGAAAGCGGAGAGGAGGATGAAGAGGACGGTAATGAACACGAAAATACCTTATGTGGTGCCTGTGGTGATAACTACGCCAACGATGAGTTCTGGATCTGCTGCGATATTTGTGAACGATGGTTTCATGGCAAATGTGTCAAGATAACTCCTGCCAGGGCTGAGCATATCAAGCAATATAAGTGTCCAGCATGCAGCAACAAAAGGGCCAGAGTATGACCAGAAAGAAGAAATTGAGACTAAGTTTCCTGTGTTAGATTATAGTTTTAAAAGGACAACTGAAAGGGGAGATATATAATCATTTTGGATGCAATTAACCCAATTGATGATTAGATTTTGCAGTTTGTAGACTTTTGTTTTCATTTACTGTCTGTAGACTTTTGTTGTCATTTACTGTCTTTATCACTTCGAACTGTCATGTTTTATTTAAAAAGCTGATCTTCGAACTTGTCTTCTGTATTGTTGAATGCTTATTTTAACGAACCAGCCAAATTAATGTTGTTTTATTTTTTGGCTAAAAAATTTTGCTATTTTAACATTTTACTTCTTTCCCAGTTGCACTTTGATTCATCTATATTTCGCTGAAGTTTTGCTTTTTTTTTTTTTAAGAAAAATTACTTGCATATTACAATTTTTATGTATTTACATATGCGATACCTAAAGTTTGATATTCACACACACAGACACAAATATATATGTATATCTGTGTCTGTGTCTGTGTCTGTGCCGCGTGCCCCGGCATGGTGGTTGGTATTCTTGTTGTAAGACCCCTTAGGTCGGGGGTTCGAATCCTCCTCTAGCAACGTGAGCCTTAAGGAGGGTGGTAATTGAATTATTAGACACATTAGGAGTGGTTGGAGGTTCATATAATAGCTTCTGACCATTCCTTTTAAACACACACATATCAAAGTTTATGTATGAAAAGCTAAATTTTACTTTTAGAAGTTCAGTAATAGTGACATTATTGATGTGATAAAGATTCCGGTATTATGTAAGTGAAACACTAAACTTGTGAAGTATAGACGGTATCGATATGTAAGTACATAAACATTGTGTAGTGTAAATCCCTCTTTTTTCTATTATTGGTCTATTATGTTCATATTGATGGAAAAAAGAACATAACCCATCACTTTCATCTCTTGGTTCTTCATTGCCTTGTGGATATGATTGATTTATGCTCATCCAATTGGTCGTGTTGTGTGTAAATTCCCTTTTTTTTCTAATATTGGTCTACTATGCTCATATTGATGCAAAAAAAAAGAAAAAAAAAAAACCTATCACTGTATCTCTTGCTCTTCATTGCATTGGGGATATGATTGATTTATGCTCGTCCAATTGCTCTATTTGGTTTTATGACAACATTGCAATTAAGGCTGTCAAGACGGCTCGTTGTTCGCGAACAGCTCGTGTTCAGCTGGTTAAGAAGTTGTGTTCCACTCATTCGGTAAGTTAACGAGTCGAACACGAACAACACTAATAAATATTTGTTCGTTCGTGTTCGGCTCGTTTTGACTCGAAATACTACTAATCAATTTTATATATATATATATATATATTGATCTTTGATGAGTAAAATTTTTAAAAAATTTAATTGACTACAAGACTATAAAGATTTATAATCAATTAAAAGTAATAAATTATTAAATCAGATTCAAATAATGTTTTAAATCTTATCCCAATTTTTAACATCATATCACTACGTGATTAGGGTTGTCAAAACAACTCTTTGTCCGTGAATGGCTCGTGTTCGGCTCGTTAAGCAAACGAGCCGAATACGAACACACTTTTTGAGCTCGAAATACGAACACGAACACACTTTTTAAGCTCGAAATATAAACGAGCCGAACACGAACTGAGTCTGGACTCGCTTGTGTTCGGCTCGTTTACATCCCTAATTGCAATAATACGCCATGATTGATCAGATATGGCGAAATTGTTTTATAAGATAATTTATATTTATAGATAATGCTTTTCTCTTAAATATAAGATGTGTGATTCATCCTCCTTATTCTAGGTACAACAGAGATATCATATAGGATGTATATAAGGTTAAGTACAAGCACACATCGGATTACCACCGGAGTCGTGATCAATATAGCAAGGTTTGCAGCAAGTGATATAGACTTCATATTTATGTGAATTAATGTGGGAAACTTTCCAAACAAAGACATGGATCATGGGATATTATGTATTGCATGTTGGCTAATTTGATCCCTATATGTGCTAATTCGACCTTTTTCAAGTTTCTTTTTAATTTTATGTTGGATGCATGGGAAATTTTAATCACATATAAATCTAGAATTTCAGCTTCGGCAACATGATTACATTATAGTGATGATACATATAAATTTAAAATTCCCAATGCATCTACCAAACACTTGCTTTTGATTACATGCAAATGGCCACTACAGTGATGGATTATTGTGTAGCTCATAGTTAATGGATAGTTTAGACTTGGTTGATCAACTTTCTACATGCTTAATTATTCATTATTGTTAGAAGAACAAGCATTAATAGGGTGATCGAATATTTTCAAAAGAAAATTATTAATATGAAGTTAAAAAATGTTCAACACTTGTACTGGTAATATGATTATGTAATAGATGATAAAAAACTTGGTTTGTATCTTGCTCGAAAATAGTATCCCACTCGGAAATAGTTCGACACGGATTAACATATTCATTGTTTGCATTTATTTTATTTTGTACCTTTAAAGATAAGTTCATATGTAGGATGGCATGCCCAATTTGTTGGCCTAGTAATTCTGAGTCATTTGAACTAGGTTCGCCCTTAAACTCATAATCATTAAAGTTACAACTAAACTTGTTATAGGGCTATATTATATAACAAAGGTGGATAAATCACATGTATCTTATTTTAAATTGCTAGCAAGGTTAAAAAAGAATTAAACTAATATAATCATAATGGATTTATTGATGATTAATAAGTTGTGCCTTATAATGATGATGGTTTAGACTCATGCCTTTTAGATGAGTAGGCAAGACCTAACAAGGATCCTTTAGCTCAGTTAACTCCATTTATTATATGGTATTTCAGTTTTGTTGTGCTACTATTATTAAACTTTATACCTCTTCATATGCTTATTGCCCAACATTAGCCATAATGTTCAATTATACACATTAGTAGATTAAAGAGTTAAGATAGTGATTTTAACTCATCACGTAAAGCACCTATTTAGGAAGGATGGGTGTATCCTAAGAAGCACGGGTTAATCTCCAATTATAATATCTTTTTTCTCCAAAAATTTAGACAATTTGATCAAATTTGTGACCTTACACAACATCGAGCTCATTATAAGGCCATGTTGAATTACAAAGGCAGAAGTAATGCAATTTTCTAGCCTTTATTTATGAATAGCTTAATTAAATTTTTATTCAATTGTTTATTTTTACAAATACTTGTTTCTACGCCCTTTACAAAGTTAAAAGAGTTTCTTTTTTTTTTTTGTAAAAAAAGATTTTCTATTGTAAACTCTCGCTAATTGATCGTAGAATAGGTATACGTAAGTATACATATCACTTTTGGTATTACTAGGTTGGCCAGGTATCGTTCCCATGAGAACTTTACAAATTCATCCAATATGATAGATAAGTATCAAATTCTTTTTCTTTTTTTATCCAACACATGAAATTATTAAAGTTTAAAAGCAAGGTAAATAGTTTAATTTTCACAAAAAATCCACGATTTTAAGTTTGACTAAAAATTTTGATTAATCAAGAATAACTGTATTTTTTTAGTCTTTGTTAATAGCTTATACAAATAATCCTTAAGATGCAATACACTAAAAGACTTTGTGTATTGTGTCAAAAATATTGAATCATTTATATTTCTCCACTGTTTGCTAGAACCTATCAGATGTATGTCTACTCTAATAGAATTTTAGTCACACTAATCCCTATGTTAGTCCTGAGCTCTATCAATATCTCAAGGCAACATTACATATGAAATACGTGTATGACCACTATCCATACTCAATTAAGCTAATTTGGAGTGAAAAAAAACTATAAGAGATTTAAGGATTATGAGATTTTAATTTAAAGATATTAAAACCTAAAGGAAACTATTTGCCCCTAAACACTTTTAATACAATCTCAAGCATTTGCTTCACTAAATGTAAGATACATAAGTATAAAAGAAAATGGCCATATTTTCTTTCTTAGATCTTGCTAGGTACATGTCTTGATCTGCTCGTCCACTTGCAAAAAAATGCTCCAACGTCCTATGTCACTCCCTCTCACAGTCACACACTTTCACACCACTCACCCAAATTTTGAGAAAACACTCTCTCCAATTTTCTCACTCTCCTCTCTTACAATCCATTTATGCACTCTCATATATCCCCCTCAACCCTGTTAGCATATAGTCCAGTCAATTAACTCTAATTACCACCGTTATGATCGTGGACTGGTTATATAAAACTATCTAGCTTGGTCATTATACAGTGGTGTTAACGATAAAATGCTACACCACTGGTACATCATTGTGATGCTCATATGATAATGATGCGATGATGAGCTTTCTAACTTCTTTAATAATGGTAGCTTTGCGTTGTCACTGTAGCTCTTTGGAAATGGGTGTGACGAAATTGTGACTAGCATCGCGGGTTGAAAATGAGCACTGAGGCATCATGATGCCTAACTTTTAGCTTCTAAACTAAATATGGCTCAGTGTCTTGGTGCTATGGAGGTTAGCACTATGACGTTGTATGTTAGCACTATGGTGCTTTGGATTGGCATTGTGGTGCCTTGCTTTGAGAATACTTATTTGGAAAATCCTCAACATTGCATTATCATGCTGGATGGTGGCGATATGAGGCTAGTGCTTCAAATCCCAAACTCTTCAATCTTCCTTCTCCTAAGGATTTTTCTACACAAAATGCATTAATTAGTACAATATTTGAATAAAACTAATAATTTCATTTACTTTTTTATACAATTTATTTTATATTTTTCTCACAAAATAAATCCCCCAAAACTCACATGTTATTTATCATCAAGCAATCTCTTATCTAATTATTTATCATTGAATAATTAGGTAGCCATTATCTTATGAATCAACATCTTCTAAATAACATAGTGTATAGCTGAAGTTCACATAAATTATTAAAAACATGAATCACTACAAACCAATAATAACCAAACCTTTACTTAAATTAAATTCTTTTAACACTAGGTTCTTAAGCATTCTACGTGCATGTTTGACTAAATTATATTTAATTAATAAGTGATTATAAAATTTTAACTTCAGTCAATCTTATAATCTTTATTTAAACATTCTTATTTTGAATAACTTATAATCTTTATTTAAATATTCTTATTTTGAATAAAATTACCTTAATTCAATTACAAAAGCTTTTGATTATTTAAGTTAGAGAAGAATAGGGGTATCGACTTTTGGTATTTGGCTTTAACCTCAAGCTTTTCCTTGTATACTCATATAAGTTTTATTTTTTAA